ATGCTTTCAACCCAGGGTATGCCCCTAAGGCAGTGTTGTGCCGGGACAGGAACACGGACAACGGACAGTCCGGGATGGAACGTCCTGGACAATTAAAATTATAGCAAGGGCTGCTTTGTTAGCCAATCCGATCGTTTTATAAGCCCCTGTGTACAATATGACATTAGACACCATCACGGATATGGTCATTGTCCTGGACATGGGACATCGTCCGGGACTGTCCGTGTCCCTGCAATTTTAATGGGACAACGTCCGAACCCAACATCGCCCTAAGGGCATGCCCAATTTTTAAAGCATGCCCCAAACCCTAGATTTAACTCAAACAGAACTTGGCGTATGAAGACACAAAGTAGTAATAAATCTATATAGGAGTTTCATCCCAATATGAAACAGAAACTGAATATAACAACAGACAACTATATGAAGATAGCTGCAGTTTACAAGGAGAATTCAAAACTATCTACTAAGAAATGTATTTGAAGAGATAAGAGAATCGAAGTCTTGAAGAACTGGCAGAGACAAAATCGTTGGCCTTTAAATATCTAATTTTTTAATATAATTATTTATAGTAGACAATTAATAAATCTATCGATCAATTATCATTCCTATTGCTCATTCTTTTTAACACCACCCCTTCGCTAATTTCACTCCACATTCCCTGTTTGCACTTCATTATCTTACTGTATCTTCACCTGCCAACAACCATACTTTAAGATTACTTCATCGCCTTCAGCTGCTTTCATTTATATTCGAATGCTTTATGCTTAACACTTCCAGATAGCACGAGCTGGACATGTCTTTTCTGGCAAATTTGAGCAGTAATAAGGCTAGCTAATAGTTTCAATTTAGGTTCAAAGAAACTCGTATTATCAATTAATTGAAGGGGTTGAAAAAGCCATACGAATATCACTTGATAATGTACAACTTTCTATAACAATTAATTCAACGGTGCAAAAAACGATGAATAAGATGAAGATGATGAACTGATTGGAAATTATCAAACACTACAAAAACTTTTTATGAGGTATAGCTTATTTATTATTTTTATTAAATCAATTATACAGCATAAATAAATAGAAGTATTTAATATTGATCTACTCTGGAATAAATGTTTGATCTTCTTGAAAAGTCTTATAATCTTCTGTAACAAAAGAAATGGTTGAAAGATATTGAATCAAATTTCAAACAAACTTAAAAGATGGTAGACGAAAATAACAATTTTGATCCAGTAAAAAAAACTTTCAAAAACTTGGCATAAACAAAAATACTTTTTATTGGTAATAAATTCGAAATTCATAAATATTTCATGTTATACAGAGTATGTAAAGTTATACAATAAAGTTTATTAAATAATTTCGAATGAACATGGCTTTTTCTTACGCAATAAAAAATGATCAAGATTTTAATTGTTTTATATAAATTCGATTTATAATGTGACAAAAAATGTCGTTACTTAGATCTCAATAGGAAGACTTTTGTATGATTGGCTGTTTACATTTATTATAAAATGCACCTATCATATGTTTTATTATGTTTTCTAGATTTTTCTAAGTTTTGAATATAAAAATTTTCAATACAAAATTTTCATGTCAGTTTTAGTATTTAGAGTTAGTATTAGGGTTTGGGAAAGGTTTTTAGGGGCGTAGAGCATTTTTACTTAGGACATCTTGCACTGATTAATTAGCCAGTTTTTTTAGATAATATATACATAGGTGTAAAACACCATGGGTGCGTTTTAGTAAAAGTCGGCTGTTTAAATCAATTTTACATTATTTATACAGTTTAAAGTTCTTTTTTAAAAAAAATAAAACTACGAAGAATAAACAAAAAAGAAGTATATAGAAAGTTTTACAGTAAGGTCTCCCTAAGTGCACACTCTATAAGTGCACGCCCTATGTAAATTCTCTCTAAATGCACGGCATAGCTTAGTCCCAACTTATATGAGCATTATATATTTTGTTCTCTATAAATGCACACTCTCTTTAAGTGCACGTTTTTACTATGTCCCGAGGGGGTGCACTTAGGGAGGTCTTACTGTATTAGGGTAGAGGTCGGATCCTGCTTTTGGAAATAGATCATTATTCGGTTACACAAAATTCATGAATTGTCAAATTTTTTACAGGAGGATCTCTAAAATAGGACCCCGAGCTATACATAGATAGGTTAGATCCAAGTTTGCTTATTTTTGTATAAAATTTGCTTCAAAAATGCTTATTTTTGACCAAAATTTGAAATTTTACTATGTAAAAAAGCTATATTTATTGAATTTCTATCAAAAATTTCCTTTTTTAGTAATCTCTAACCTATCTATGTATAGCTTGGGGTCTTTCTAAAATTCCTGGTTGAAATGCATCAGAATGTGTCATGGTTAGGGTTAGGGTTAGCTATTCTGGTTAGCAGAAGCTATAGTAAAATTATCAGCTGGGCATTTTTTACTTAATAATTTTATTAGTAAAATTCTTAGTGATCTTGAGCAAATTGATTAATTCCGGCCTATCCAGCCAATGTTTTGATTCATTTTGACTAGGAACTTTGAAAATCTCTCTGTATGAGTTGATAGTCAAGAGTTTATAATTGATATAATTGATTTGTTTATATTTTTGAATATTTGTGTTCAAATCTAGATATTTATTTAATACTATTTGTAAATATCAAAACCTGTAAATATTTACTGAATAACCATGTAGCAATTATGTAACTGATTTTGGTGATCATGCCAGAGATTATTTGGTTAGGCTGGTGAAATTACAATTTCATTTAATATTCTTTCCAACCCCCTTCACTCTAAAACCTTCCTAGCACATCCACAAAAATTTTTCCTGCTCATAAATTTTGGCCAATCAAATTTCAAGATCATGTGTAATATAAACAAACAAAGTGAAACTATTTTTTACAAATAAACTGAAATAACTCAAAATTTTAATTAAGAAACCACCTTTCTGTGGTCTAATTAAAAATGTTTCTTGTGAAATTTTACTAATAGCAATAACTTTAACTCTAACTTTAATTTTACAGTATTCTTACTCTAACCCTAATTATAATACAGTTTTATAAATTCATAGGTAGAGAAATTTTTGTAAGTATGCTACCTAAAATTCCACCTCAAGAGTTCTCTGAAATTAAATAAATATCTATTTCATTCAATAAGTTATGTGCTTGTAATCTAGCCAATAACAATAAGATTATTTTTATAATGTAATAACATTACGAAAATTTTTATGTTTAAATTTTCTTTGTTATATTTTCTATATTGTAATAGTATTTGTTTACTATATTTGCTAGCACTATTGTTATGATATGGCTGTACATGGTTTAAAACCACAGATATTGGTTTGAAACCATAAATCTTGGTTTAGATCTATAGATTTTGGTTTGAGACCACAAATCATAGTTCTCTATTTTGCAATATATAAATATGATAGCTAAACTAATAAAGATAAATAATAATTTTTGAGAGAATTATGCTTGAGTCTAATAAAATAATAGATAAAGTATTTTATAAATCATATACTCACTAAATATATTTTTTAATAACCTATTATCATTAAATCTGAATTCTTTATAAATATTTATAATCTATGCTTGTAACTCTGAGCTATTGACCTCACGTTAGCCAAAGTCTTTCCTATGGTTACAACAACTCTCTCACTGCACTTAAGCACTATAAAAGAATATTAAATAAAATTATAATTTTAAACACCTTTACTAAAAATTTAAACATATAAAGATTACACAAATAACTATATAGTACTGCAAAGTGAAAGCCTAGAAGAATTTTTTATTATAGCAAATTTAGCCTCTTGAAATTAAACTAGACATTAGTAATCAATGATATACAATACAATAATTAGAGATATGCGAATGTAGGTTTTTTTGCCTCTGCATTACATAATGCAATATTATATTACATGATATATTATACAACCCTGTATCTATATACAGTCACACCCCTAAGTGCATGCCCCTAAATGCAAACCTTCTCTATATACATACTATAGCTTGGTCTCAAACTTGGGACTTAGACACTTCCTACATTCTGCATATGCACAAGATATCGGGATTCTAAATATATATATGTGTTTCCGTATATGCATACATATGACCAATATTAAAAACTAGCCAATAAAAATACACTTTATTAGATGTATTTAGTTTGGTCCTAGTTCGGTTCCTAAAAGTCTGGTCCAGAACTAGTTGAAAACAAGTTCACTCCCTATAAAAAATAGATAAAGCTGGTCTTATTCTAGTGGTTTAAATATATAAAATATTAGTAGGGTTGTTAAAAGTCTGATCCTTTCGGTCCAGACTTCATAAATAGGGGCTTTGATTAGGACTCTGTCCTTGAGTCACTTGATATAAATTAGCCAATCATATGAATGCCTTCTGATCACAATTCGAACAATTAGAAACAAAAATAAAATTTTGTCTGAAACAGGTTTGTAAAAAGTCCATGTGAAGTCGATTCAATATAAATATTAACGATAGTAATTCATGATATAAATTAGCCAATTAGACAATCTTAAGATCACAAGATTATAGAAATATCACATGTTAAATAATTTTGTTCAATAACATTGTGATAATTTTACTTATATGTGTACACTTTCTGACTTATCTACAAGTATAAAGAATAAAATCTTTTTTTTTTCTTTATAACCAAGCAGAAAAAAAAAAAAATCTAGATCTTTATTATATGCTATAGAACATTATATGAAATATTCAAAAAATTCTATTCAATTTTCTCTTATAAAAAATTGATCAATTTTGCTTTGTTGCATTTGGCCCACCTTCGTTCTTCTAATAAAATTTTCAATTCTTCTTAGGATCTTGATATATTCTTCTGTATCATCCTCCTGAAGTAAAAACGTATATATAGTCTCCAAACTTGCATTTGCTATATTGGCACTAACCACAGGGATTTCAAAGCTATCGTCTGTATCTTCCAAGTTAGTGATGATTGGATCATTAATTCTGAACATTTCAACAAGCTCTGTTATAACTCAATCATCTGAAAGGACTTCATAAATGATGTTTTCTTCAGGAATTGCCAAAAATTCATCAACTTGCATAGGGTCAAAGAAGTCAAGGGCATCAAGTGCATCTGCAATGTCATTAAGCACAGAGTCTGTGGCTTGACGATGTTCTTCCAAGGAACTTTGTAAGTAAGAATTAGTATCTTCAGAAAGAATTTTTGTATGGTACCAACAATTTCGAATAGTATTAATATTAACTTCATCCTAACTTTCAATGATATAATGGATAGCTTGTAACACATTCATTTTTAGATCTTCTGCTTTCTCTCCTTTTTCGACTTCTTGTAGCATCCAACTTAAAAGATGTAATTAGTGTAATATCTAATACATATTTTATCAATTTTGTGCAAGAATTTTTTTTTTTTTTTTTAAGAAAAAAAAAAAAAAAAACCAAGCTTACCGAATATGAAGTCGACAATAATGCCTCTTGAAGCTCACGATAACCCTGGTATCCATAGGCTAAATTCTCAAAGTTGTATTTGGCAACAAAAATTGTATATTTGTATATTGGAGATTAACACTAGTAATATCATAGCTAGGGTAGTTGTCAAGAAGCAAGAGTACACATTGACCCCGATATCTAAGACCAACTTGGCGATCAAAATCTTTAATCCATTTTTGAAAGAGAGATGTAATCATCTAAGCTTTTGTACTGTTTTTATATTTTATAGGCAAATTACTAATATTGACATTCTTGAAGCAGCATGGTTTTTTATATTTTCCAATTACAAGAGGATTCAATTTATGTAAACCATCGGCATTTGCACAAAGTGCAATTGAGAGGCATTTCTTGTTTATTTTATATCCAGAAAGACATTGAGTTGCCAATGTTCTATCAGGTTGCAACTTAAAGGTAAATGTTAGTAATATAAATAATAATAAAAAATGCATATAAGTACTGCTAAGGGAAAATGTTCCTTTGGGCCTTCAAAGCCCAAAGGAACATTTTTTCTTAACAGTACTTATGTATGCCAAAAGATAGCAAATTTTTAAAATTTGATAGCAAAAACAAAATAAAAGCTTATACCGATAAAAAAGACCAGTTTCGTCCATGTTATAAATTCTTTTAGCAGGATAATTTGTACACATATTTTTTAATACTGGCATAATATTGCTAATTGCTACTTCATTGGCAGACACAGATTCTCCTTGAAACAAGCATAGTCGAATACTATTTTGATTTTTAAATTTATAAAGCCAACCAAGAGAGAAGTTTAATGCTTCTTGAGAAATTCCCAAACCATCAGCAAGTGCCTTTGCTTTTTCAACAAGTAAAGCATCACTTAAAATTGTCTGATGCTGATAAATCAGCATGAACTCTTTGAGGGCAAGATCAAGTTTTGGGTAAGTAACAGTTTTATGACGCTTTGTATTAGAATTAATGATTTTATTTTCAAGTCGTTCTTTACTTGTCTTCAAAATACGCGAGACTGTACTTTCATTAATACTAAGATTCCACTTATTCTTAATCCAATCAACATATTGGAATTGAGTTTTTTTATTATCACAAGCATATACACAAAGCTCATGTTTTTGCATATTATTAAGAGTTGTTTTCTTGGGCATTTTTTTTTTTTTTGAATGAAAAAAAAGATTATATATAAGATAAGTTTATTTAAAGTTTTTTATAGATTTTTAATCAAATGAAAATTTTACAATTTTTTTTTTTTGCTTCTATAGTGTGTCATTTTTACAAATAAGTAAATGAAGTTCTATGTCATGCGAAGGTTTGCTAAATTACACATTTTAATGAATTTGATTCCATGTGCAAGAAAAAAAATCTATTTATTAAGGTGGCACATATGAAATATATATAAAAATAGTCATTAGAAGGTAATAATAATTATAAGTAGATTAATAAAAAGTTCACATTGCACGAGATGTATATACTGTATACAAGTGACTTTCTATATAGAACTTGGTATGAATTTTAGTTTTAAGTACAAACCCAGAATCGAACTAGAATCAAGATGAAATAAGAAATTAGACTTTATAAAGTGAAAGGTAAATTTAATATTTAATAATTTAAATTGTATAAATCTTATGTATAAAAATACATCTAAATTTAAATAATTGAATCCTCAATTATTCGCTCTTGCCGGCTAGATCCTAAAAAATTCTTGGGGTCTAAGTTTTCATTTTTGAACAGTCTTTACACTTATTATAATTAAGAGCAAAAAATTTTTTTATTGTTACTAAATTTATACATACCATTGTTAAAAGTAGTAAAGTAATGCCATATAATTAAAATAATGATAGTGTTACGGTGTTATACATTAAAAAAAAAATGGTGTAATCTTGATTTTGACCTCGTTGCACTGTAGTTCTTGTCTTTTAAAAATGGAATATTTAATTATAACTCGCCTTACTAGATTAAGTAAAGTAATTTTTCATTGGTAAATGTATAGCTTATTTAAAAATTCCTACGATTAATTCTTATTTTTTAAGGAAATCTAAAAATGTCAATTGTGAAAAGATACAATGAGTATAAATTACTAACCCGTATGAAATTTAATTTTATACTGTCAAGCCTAAAAGTGCAAGATATTGTTGTGATCTATTTAAAAACCGGTTTGATAAATTTTTTTATATTAAGATACTATTATAACTTTATTATACAAATATGTAGTCATACTTTATTCCATTATACTATACAATAAAAACTTTTAAACCAACCCGAAATTTACTATATAACCCACCCTCTCTAAATGCATATATATATTTGATTTCTAAGATATGCATTTAGAGGGGTGTAATTGCATTAATTCTATAAATGCATACCCTCTCTAAATGCATACTTATACCCAGTCCTCAGAGTATGCACTTAGAGGGTGCGACTGTATATATATAATTACTTTGATATTACTATCTGATTTTTATTAAGACTAGCTCTAATATGTGATTATATGTATATCTAAAGATGTTAAAAGTTAAAATTTAACTATTTGAAACTTAAATCAGTTTATTCTTTACTTAAGTAACTGCTAATAATAACTTGTTTGATTTTTTATTTAAACATTAAGCTTACAAATAATAATTAATAGTTAATATAATAAATAAAATTAGATATCAAAAGTAAATTTTACTCTTGAAAACTACTTTATTATATAAACTTCTTTTTATACATAGTATGAAATTACTTATTATATTAAATTAAAATATTAAATAATAAAATTTTTATTGAGTTAAATTTATATAATAATTACAATGTATATTTTTAACTTTTAAACCAACTATATTACATTATATAACATTATATATTGCATAATGTAACATATATAATGCGCATAGTATATCTCTAATAATAATATACAAATGATTACAAGTTCTATAATCATAAAAAAAAAAAAGATCAGGTTCAAGTTCCCAATATCAGACATCTATAAGAATATCTAACTCTGACAAATATTTCAACAGGATGTTGCAAGCCCCATTGAAATCCCTGTCTATGATGATATCACATGAAATACAATCAAATCTCTTATTTTCATCCAACCTCTTATTCACCTATTTGCAATTTCTGCAGGTTTTTGAGGTAAAATTCTTAGTGCATATTATAGGTACAGAAATTAAAAGATATATAAATACATCAATTTAATACATAGTTAAATCAAAAGTGTCATGATGATATAGGTAGCAATTGTTGATATTTGTAATAACTTATATAATTGATGTAGTCTAAGAAATTAATGCAACTGATACAACTAGAAAATTTGCTATAGTAAATTTATATCAGTATATCATTAAGATTTGTAGTAAATTATAAAATTTTTACATCACTGATATAACAAACATAACTAGAAATTTTTTTTTTTTTTTTTTTTTTTTTTTTTTTAATATTAAGGTGACCACTTAGGTCCCCGGTACTTAGCTTTATTCAGATAAATACGATATTATATCAATTTCACGAGGATACAACTAGCCACACATATACTTTTGGTACCTAATTTAAGTAGTCCGCCTAGG